CACTCCTGTGTGTCCTGTATTTCCTCCTTGGGAATGTTCCTCCTCTGCTGCCCCGTTGTCATTTGCTCCAAGGGATGCATTTCCAGAGAGCATGTGGGTGCATCACCCTGGGTTGAGTGATCTGCGTCTAAACAATTGGCTGAGAGCCAGCCCCAGAGAGTGAGTTTTATTCCAGGTCCATAGTACTGGGGCATCTCACCAGACTCCATCTGACCAGTAATTCTGGTCATTATTGAGTTTTTGGATTTTGTTCCACGTTTTTCCTCCCACTCTATCCAGGATCTCCAGATTTGATTCTTTCCTGAGTGGCTGGCATTGGTAGCTGGGCACCATCTACTTCTTCTGGTCTTGAGGGCCAGCGTGTCCTAGGGCTGATTGCTTCCAAATGCCCTTGATATTTTTTGCACTGTTTCTCACATCTGATGATAGGAGACCATTAGCTGCATCTTAGATGGCCGCTTGAAAGCTTTTAAGACCCCAATTGCTACTCACCCATGTAGGATGAGGAACAAGACTTCTATGTATTTTGTTGTGCCAGTTGAGTCTGGTGTCCCCCAATACCATGGTCCTGAGTCGGCAGATCTGCTGTATCTCTCTCCCACAGTGTCTGGCTGTCTGTGAGCAACATTTTTATTTAGTACTTTAAACATACACGACACTGATTTTAGTAGTGCTCATTTTCTTTCTTGAAGTGTTTTCTTTCCAAAACTTTCCCCCTGCGATCCCGTTGTAGCTACAGTGCTGGGCACGTGGGCATCATTAAGTGGCGAATGCATTTAAAAGACAACAAATAGACCAAATGGCTTTCCTTTTTTGTAATGTAACAATCCCTGGATGTTACCCATTCCTAGGTTACTGATTTTGAGTGGCCAAGTGTCTAGTCATTCATTCAATAAACTGAGTGCTTATCACATACCAAGACAAAAGGACATAAAAATACACACATGCTGAGTTTCTGTTGGGGGTGATGAAAAAAAATCTGCATTGTGGTGATTGTTGCACAACATGATGGGCACAGTTAACGTCAGTGAATCGTACACGTGATGGCAAATTTCTATTTCTACAGTAAAAAAGAATCAGTGTTACGTGAAGTAGTCAAATTTTAGGAGCTCTGGTGGCATAGTGCCTTGACTGCTAACCAGAAAGCTTGCAGTTCAAACCCACGAGCCACTTGGAAGGAAGACTAGGTGATCTACTTTGACAGAGACACTGACACTGCCTCGGAAACCCAAAGGGTGGCTATGAGTCAGAATTGACTGAGGGCTATAATTTTTTTTTTTTTTTTTTAATAATAATTGTTAAAGTCAGCTAGTTTCTAAAACTGTTATTTCTGTTAAAATAAAAGTAGAAATGGCAAGTATTGTATTTTTACAATTGAAAAAAACTTTAGACATGATTCCTAATTATAAAAAGCTGTCTCTCATCACACACAGAAACAAGTAATTATCATACAAACATTAACCCTGGCCCCTTTGGTTCTAGGCCACTCCTACCTTTCAACAAACCTCTTTTCAATTACTGCAGTGTTTGTGGTGCATTTTTAAGTATCTTTCTTCTTCAGTTCCCCAAAGATGGGTCAACTCTAAATTTTTTTTCCTGTTATAATTATAGCCAACAAGAGGCGTAAGTCAGTGGGATTCAAGCTCCGTTTTTGAACTGGATCTGCATTTTAAGGATACACAATGCAGAGATAGCCAGGAGACTAAAGATTCTTTGGTCACTGAGTTTCCAACTGATTTACTGTGTTCTTTGCATCTTGAGGCGCTGGAGAAACAGAACACACTGCTTTGAATGCACATGTCTGACTAGGATGAAAGTGGGGGATATGGTCAGGAATCCTGATGATCAGTCCACACCTTAACCTGCTCAAAACCCACAAAGTACTTTCTGAACATCACACAGGAGTATCAGTATCTTTAACAAATTAGACCAGATTCTTTGGGGCTATAATGAGTAAATTTTTCTTTCCACTCCATACCAACTGCTTCTGCTCTTTTTTCAGTAATGCCTATCAAATCACTGATTATGATCTTACTTACTAGCTATTTAGATAATACAGAACATACAGACCAAAACACAGTAGAGATCACTTTGTATTTATTACACGTTTAATTGAACTTTTCATATTACAGAACTCATCTCCAAATAAGGTAATTAAACACCTGCTAAGCTGTTATTCATTTACATTTTTCCCTCCTAAAGTCTTACCACAGCAAAAACACCTTAAAGACACGTGAATAGGTTCAGTGCACTTTCAGTGGCTCACAATCATGACACAAAAGACCACAATTATCCATAAAAATGTAAGGCAAATAGCTTCATATTTTAAAATGTTAACAACATGAAATAAAGGAAAAAACAAAATGCTGTACTTTAACCACAGTTGTTTTGGTAGGTAATAGAACATTGTTTAAAGTAATGCTCCTGTGCAGAACGTGTGCTGTGCTTGGCGTGCTTGGCACATGAGCACTCCGTAACTGTTCGGCTTCCACCGCAGTTTCTCTAGGATTCCTTACTTGGGCCCATCTTCCCCAGAGTCTCTGATCCACCTGCCTCCACAGGGACCATTTGGCTAGGAGACTGACCCTTCCTCCTCCATTTGCATAAGGCTTTTCTGTCTACCCTTTATTCCCTCCCCCTGCCCCCTGGCACAGAACTCCCATTGCTGAGTGTCTCTGCCATACCTCCTGCCCCAGATGTTGCTCCATTCACCTGAATAAATTGTGGCTACAAAGTAAAGAAAATGAGTCTACACACAAAAATCATTCTCCCCACTCTACAGTTATATATCCTACAATTCAAAAATGGTTAGTGATGCCTGATTTAAAACTGAAAATATTCAATGAGTTTAGGCAGAATGCATACTGAAGTTCTTTAAGGTGATTGTTTTTGAAATTATAAAAATTGTAAACATTCTGCTAAGTACTTCAGTTAGAAACGCTGTCACTTTGCAATTAATTTAGTAAGTTCAGAAAGAATGCAAGTGCTACCATATTCCCTTTGGCTGACCCAAAAATCATGCTCCCAGTCCTAAACCTGGGAGATTAAGTATCTCCCACCATTAGAAGATCTGTACACCAAACATGTGTATCATGACAACTACTGATGCCACTCACAAACACACCCAGTGACAAAGCAGCAGAAGAGGTCTCTAGAATCTCTCCCAGGTGGCTATCCATCGGCTTGCTGGGCATCTTACCCCCACAGCTCCACACCTGACCCAGGTTCAGTGGCCATGAAAACACATGAAAGGAACGATACAAAAAATTGGAGTACCTCCTTTACTACAATGCTGCATTCCTTTGTAAAGTGAGAGGGGACTTCCTCTCTTTGTCAGAGTAACAGCAGGATCAGGTAAGGAGCAGAGGGGAGGGATGCTGCTGACTGAGGTAGTAATAAAAAGAAAGCTGAAGAGGCCACCCCACGAGTGTCCACCACAGCCCCAGAGTCTGCACATTCCCTTCACCATGACACTGCTGGGAGCCTGAGGATGAGTCTGATTTTCTATTCAAAAGGAAGAACATAGTATGTAGGCAATTCTAGTCACTTACCATTATTCTTGTAGCAATGTTTTACACTATGCTTTTAAAAGAAAGAAATTAACAAGGTGTTACCATATAAAATGAATAACTTAAAATTAATCATGGGGGAAAAATACTGCCTTTGTTTTTTGAAACGAAAACTCTAGATGCAAATGACTAATGAAACTTACCAGCTCTTGGGAAAGTCCTTAGCATATTTATCAACTCTGACTAATAAGATAACCTAAAACCAGAATTCCTGACCAGGGTGGTAAACAGTACCAATTAACCAGAGTATTAACTGCCATGACTTAAAACTGGATTATTGAATAGTCTCCTTGGTGAAGTGTCAGAAAAAGTGAAACAGTATTTCCTACAGCACCATAAGATTTTGTAAAATACTATTTCAGTTTTTAACATTAATGTACTGTCTCAATATTTTAGTCTATCATTCATTAAGTGTCATCTCTTCTTTCACTGGCAATAGTTCTGACAGAGGCCACACAGGCACAACTATAAGATGAAAATGACATTCTACTGAAGAACCTGTATTTTATACTCAAGACCATCACTGTTTCAGTCACATCCATTGAGTACCACGGGATTCAGAGGCTAGAAAGGATTTTGGTTTTGCCACTTACTTGATCTCAAATTTAAATTGGCCAAAAGAACTTAAGTGATACTAAGATATGTGCCATAACTCAAAAGTCCTTTCATATCTGTCTGCTTTGGTACTGTGTGCTTTTATAGGTTTTTATCTATATAATAATAATTAGTAAATGGCTCTGAGTTTTTAAAAGAAAAATACAGTGATTTACTCTGAATTTAAAAAATAAATGCAGTTAGAAAACAAATTTTATAGTCAAATAATCTGGAATTATGTGTAACAAATTCTCTATAATAAAAACATTTATCACAGATGGGTTCCCCCCAAAATTTAGCATGCTCATGGATGTCCCTACAACCGCTAGTGTCAGTTATGCCAACTTAGTTCAACACTGATCTAAGCAAAACATAATAGAAAGTACTGACTTACCCACCAAAAGGGATACACTGCATTTCAAAGCCAAATATGAATTAGTTTTACGATATCAATTCTATGTCTCCTCTCCATTAATGCAGAAAACTGAGACTTGGCTTACTACAAATCAGCTAGCACTAGAGTAAATTTGCTATAAAATTATTTATAACAAAATAAATATTTTTAATCCCTCTACACTAAGTGATATAGAAATCATTAGCAGTTTATAACATTAGCTCAGGTCACTTTTTTGGGACCCAAACATACTGTACAATCCTGAGTAAAAGGTTAAGGATACAGTTTCTTGGGGATCTTTCTTGACCAAGAATCATTAAAACCGCAACTCATAATAATCCCCATTTTCATCAGAAGTACCATGAGTTCTTTTACTTTGGTAAATAACTTTATCTGTGTAAACCTTTTATTTTGATGGAGTAATAATACAAGCAGAGCTTCTGCTAGGATCCCTCCACCACTTTTTGACACTGATACAGTAAATAGTCAGGAAGAGTAGAACAAGAGGATCTGAACCACAGGGCCAATACGTCAGCGTGAACTCGGAAATGCAGCAGACAGGGGGTAGATGGGAGCAGCTGACAGGCCAACAGCCCTTCATTGCCTGCAACAAAACAAAAATTTTAAATTCTTTAATATAGTCTGAAAAACACACTCATTTGAAAGATACTCAAAACGAAAAATACAGCTCTAAGAAATCTGACACAAGTAAGAGTTAATTTGTGTTCTGATTGTGAGAGTCCCTATAAACACAGGATTGCCTTTTTATAACTTTACCAACCTATAATGTCAACAATATGAAGTCTTAGTTTCTTTTGCAGGGTCTTTAGGGTAGAAGGCAGAGCGGCTTGAGATCCTGACATTTTTACATTCTGCTTCACATCATTTGCAAAGGATAACCAAAGTTTGCCAAAGTCTTCAGTAGAAATTTTTAATGGTCTGAAAATAATTTCCAAAATTAGATTTATGTTCAAAAGAAAAAATGACTCTAAACAAACAAATACATTTCAAATGAAACATGGGAATAAAACATGATCATTATAAATCTGGATCCCATAATATTTATGCTTTTAAATCAACTAAGATTAGAATGCTTAGCATTATCCTACAATCTGATGAAATAGTGAAAGCAGATGTAATGAAATTGAGAATACTCCCTCAATAAAATCATACAAGTTCTCTATTAGTCATTCTAGTAAATTTTACCAATTAATTTAATTAATTCTTCAAATATAAAACTTTTTTTTTATGTATACTTTGGATTTGGGGATAATGAGATACTCAATCAGTCAGGTAAAAGACTGTGAATATATAAACCCAGTACCTCGCATAAACTAAACTAACAGAAAGAATTTTAATAAATTAGGAAAAAAAAAAAAAAAAGGCTCATGGGACTAAAGGTCCAGTAATTAACCAGGTATCTCTGGAAGTAGGATTACAGGAAATGTCTATATTCTATTTATATTTTTCTATAACATTTGGATTTTTGTAATAAGTACATATTGATTTTATAATCAGGAAAAACATTTTTAAATTAAAGATACATAGGATTTTATTAATATGCATAGAACTATTTATGTTACATATATTGTGCCTCTAAAATAGTACTAATGCTTACTGCTATGGGATATACCTTCATAGTCACAGAATGTAAGCTTTTTGAGGGCTGGATTCTATCCTATACAGTATCATTGGCAAAAATACTCTCTGACAGGTTCATAGACACATTCTTACTAAAAGACTTTAAAGCGTGAGCAAAAATTATGGTGGTGTACTACAAAAGGATGTATGAAGGTTAAAAAACTTTTTACAGATATTATTCTGCATTCTTGGTTCACACAGCCTTTATTTAAAAACTGTTCAAATACAGTATAATATATTTATAAAACTAAGAGAGAGAGTGGGAGCTCTGGTAGCATAGTGCCTAAGGCACTTGACTGCTAACCAGAAGGCTGGTGGTTCAAACCCACCAGCCACTCCTCGGAAGGAAGGTT